GAGCCCCGTGAGCTCACCTACAAACGTTAGGGTTACGTTGAAATAGCCTCTCAAGGCTCACAGCTTAGGTAGGAAAAAAAAAAGAAAAAAAAAAAAGACACTGCCAATTGGTTACGAGATGTCAAAATGATTAATAAGGCGTATTGTGATCCTAAGCTGATTTGTCTTACCTTTTCCTGAAATTTCCCTTGTCTTACTGGTGGTAGGTCCTCTTGTGAGTCCGAACAGGTAGGTACCACCACCCTTCCTATTTCTGCCGTGAAGCAGTAATGCGTTTCGGTTTGAAGGGTGGGGCAGCCGTTGTAACTATACTGAGACCTTAGAACTTATATCTCAAGGTGGGTGGCGCATTTACGTTGTAGATGTCTATGCGCTCCAGTAACCTCTTAACACCAGGTGAGCTGTGAGCTCGTCCACTCATCTAAGCCAATTCACATCTCAAGGTTAGTAGCGTCGCGTTGTGATGTCTATGGACCACTTAAGATAAATGCCATAAGCTCGTTCATTCATCGACGCAATAAGAATAATAATGAACCATGTTTGCATATTTATCGCCAGTTTAATGTGAAGTTTTAGAGTTTTATTTTATTTATAATGTTAAGTTTAATATCGGCAGAATGTAAACCATTCGAAATTCAGTATTATTGGAGGTGATTGCGCATGCGCGTTGCATCCCTGAGCTATCGTCCTTTGTGCTCTCCCTGTATCGTCTTGAAACTGCTACTAATTGGGTCAAATAATGTCATATAGAACATATAGTACACCGGCATTCTAAAAAACTTATTCAAGTTGAATATAAAGTGATATTAAATTTGATGACATTCTTCAATGTTGCCACAATCAAAATTGCTTCCTTGCTAACTAATGTAGTGTGTTGTGTATTAAATGTATCTTAAAAAACCAATAAATAGGATGTAAAGAAAAACCTTTATTATTTAAAACTCTTTAGTTTTTAAAAAGGATTTTTCTTCAGTGATTATTCAGTGAAGTCTGTCATTCAGTAAAGAAAGTTCGGTTTGTCTAAAATGATAATTTTATTAGATTAAGGGTTTTAAATGTTGTTGTCTTAACGCAATTAAGCCTTTCATTGCTTATTCATTCTGAAGTGCCAAATATCATATAAAGTATATACAAATAGTTACACGCTCAGACATTCGGATAAGACAGAAGCCTTGAGCAAAAGAGACAAGACGTATGGGCTTAGTGTATGTATTTGTCTACATTACACGACATTTTCCAAGTATATGAATTAAATAGCCTAGCTTCTAGGATCAGTATGTGAGGCTCATAGACATATCGTCTCCAACCTTCAAACTCGAAGTCTCAATTTATTACGATTTTATAATGATTGAATTCTAATCGCATGATTAATCGGGAAATAGATAGGTGAGTGACAACTACCAGTAAAGGTTTGCGTAATGCCTTCTCACTAATTCATATAGGAACTAGAGCATTCGAAATTCAAAAGTTTGAAACGAATAAAAAAGGATATCGTTACTGCGCACGGATGAACCGACATTTTGTTTATCTTTCATTAAATTTGGACACGTCGATAAAACTGACTTATTTGTCAAGTGAAATTCAATGCTTTTACCAAAACAACTAAATAATAAAACTCAAGGCCAACGTTACGTAAATTAACACGAGGCGTGCACTTAAACTTATTTATCAGATTCTACAGTAATATGCATTTATTTGAGTGTGTATGTATCGTCAAATGTAACGAAAAAAGAATTGCCAAAATTATCAGTGCCGATGTCAACGACCTCTTTATCAACTTAGGAAGATTTTAGCGTACATGCACGTATGAGCTGTAAATTATGTGATAAATGGTGATAATATTTAAAAAAAAATTGCTCTTACAAAAATGATTTTGTTTCTTCTTGTTCACTGGTGGTAGGACCTCTTGTGAATCCACGCGGGTAGGTACCACAAGCCTGCATATTTCTGCCGTGAAACAGTAATGCGTTTCGGTTTGAAGGGTGGGGCAGCCCTTGTAACTATACTTGAATATATAGAACTTATATATAGAGGTGGGTGGCGCATTTACGTTATCGATGTCTATGTGCTCCAGTAACCACTTAACACCAGGTGGGCTGTGAGCTCGTCCACCCATCTAAGCAATAAAAAAATCTTAACCTGATAGGATCGCTTTGCTCGTTTTAGCTTAGATTACATCATTATAAGCGTCTCGGAGTCTCAACTGCAATGGATTCACCGTTACTGTCAAAGAATCCGATTGCACGATTGCTTGGTGACAAGAAGGAACGAAACGGTGATATTGACACGTGCTCAGAGCACGCCCCAGCACTTGTAAATGAAATTCAATATGAGAGGAAAATATAACAGTCAATTATCTATATTAATATAATATTATAAAGAGGAAAGATTTGTTTGTTTGTTTGTATTGAATAGGCTCCGAAACTACTGAACCGATTTGAAAAATTCTTTCACTGTTTGGAAGCTACACTATTCCCGAGTGACATAGGCTATAATCTTTTTTGAAAAAAATTAGGGATCCTTACTAAAACTCCAATAATGTAACCCAAGGTGTAAAAAAATTACCTAAAATATTCTTTACATCGTGTGCCCTGCGAAAACTATTGATGATAGAATAAAATAATGTACTACGACTTTGTAGAACACATTATTATTTACAAAAAGTGTCGCGACATTATATCATTCTAACTATTATATAATAGTTATGCCGCAATAAGTGTTCTTTTATTTAAAAAAATGAAGCCACGTCAAATATCGTTGAAATTTTTGTTAAAGACCCGAGCGGAGCCGGAGCGGCCCGCTAGTTATTATATAAATGTTAAAACATGTTGATTTTCTTAACGCAGCGCCAACCTATCCGATCGTCGAGGAAAAATGCAAAAACACAACACGATTGTTATTATACTTTACAGCGTGAGATAATCGTGGACTGGATTGTTCTATTTCACCAAATACGATTGTTTTGATTCTTTAAACAAATCAAATTCATTCATTGTTATACTAAAGATTTTATTATTAGGGAAAATTCGAATACTTTTCTTTAATTATCTAATGGTAAATTAACTTATAATTGATCTATTTCATTTTCTCTTTCTTATCCAATTAGTTGATAAACTCTTTCTGTATACACAGGAAATTGAGTAATGCACAAAATACACTTTGTTTTACTAATGGAATTATTAGAGATAATCTTTTTTTTTTTTGATAATATGATATTATATATTATCCGACTTTTGAAACAGTGATAGATCGGCTTTGATAAACGCATTAAACAAAACAAGATTTATAATGCGGAAATAGGAATAGACAAACAAAGTCAACAACTGTTAAGATATTATAAATCGTATAAAAATATTATTATGTATTTCTGCATAGGTTTCTGTTGTGTTAGATAAAAAGTGTAATTATTTTTATCAGGGCCTAATTACCATTGTTCTCGTTACGTAAAAATATCGTAATTTGCATTTCCAAAGAGTAGAATCAAGGAAACAACGCGACCATACGCTTATCTGATAAAAATATCTATGAGCCGAAGTGTTTTTTTTTTATGTTTGTATTTAAACTGACTTATTCTAAATTAAGCTTTAAGGATGGATGTCACCCGTAATCACATCTTAGATACACAGTTATAGTACCTGACTCAGCATTGAGGTGATCGCACATTCCGAGTAAGCTAGGTTTTTATTTGTATTTTTAAACTGACGTATATATGACCACGCGACCACTAGTAGTCACCTCAGCTCATGAACGCTAGAACCTAAGGAAGGTTTGGCTGCATCCCTCGTGTTTCTAAGGACACTCCTCAAATCATGCTTGAAGAAGAATACATCGTCGCGCTTGTAAAAGCAAGAAGAAATAGCCGTAGAACTGACTGGGGTTGCATCCCAGTATCTTCTTGTTAAAATTTAGCCAAATAATACCTCTAACATACTTAGTATATCCTCCACTTTCGGAAAGTCCTCAATCATCGATTTGAAAAATTATTATGTATATCATCAGCCCACAGACGTCCATTGCTTCTCCCCCAAGATTCGGTATAAATACCGGTCTAAAGTTACCATCAACATTCAGCGGATTACCGTGACCTTCAGGAGCTCATCCGTCGGATAAATAGTGTATGTAATTAGGATTAAAAAAAATGTTGATAAGTACTAATTGAAAATAAGTAGTTTGTTAACGTATTTCATAGCTTACTAATAACAAATTACATGACATTTGAAAAAAAATAGCGCTGTTTATTCAATTAAAATAATATTTTGCACAGCTTTTGATATTTTGTTCTTACGTAAAAGTTCATTGTAGTATTTACAATACCGTAACCGATTTAATAGCACCAAACGATTCTAGAAATGAATAGATTTCAAACAGTTCAGTAGTCTTCTTTTGGCGTTTTAGTGCACAGAAATGGTATGGAATGGAACAGAATCAATATTGTGATTTTGGCATAAAATAGAACCACTCTTCCCTTGGGTGTCGTAAAAAACGACCAGGGATTCATTGAAGAATAGACAATAGCGTTCTCTGAGTGTTGTACAAGCGTACTAACGATCTGGTGGTTTACTAGTGGCAAAGGCTATTGAAATTGATACTAGTCCTAATCGATATCATTCTGTCAATTTCTATACCAAAACCGTCCTCGGTTCTAATTTAAAAGGTAAGGCAGTTCTAATGCAATTCGCACAAGATTTCCACTTCATGTCTGGGCAGTGGTAATCACTTTACGACATCTATGGACCAGATGACCTGTGAAATAAATAACGCACTATACATAACTAAATAGCTTACAGATAAAACCTGTTAGTTTACAGGTAAATTAAAACCTATGATGACATATGTACTTAAGCTTAAGGCCTACCCTACCTACGCCCTGTTCAATAGTTTATCATCTGAACGAGAGATCGAATATCTTTTTGTAAATGACACCTGATACTCACAAAACACTACCGGTAAATCGAAGAAAAGTACCAGGACTACATGAACTAAAAGAGTTTTCAACTCACCTTCGCAGTAGAGCGTGACATCGGCGAGACTCTCCGAATTCCAGAGGTTCGCGAATGACGTGGCGAGGTTCGAACCGAAGCTGTTCCATTTTAGGCAGTACTGTTGCTGCTGCGAGTCCATGCCCGGGCCGCCTCGAATGCCTGCCCTGTAATGAAAATTGACGTAAGGAATCTACATGGACTCATTAATTACGACTAAGATATTATTCGATCGGTTTTCTTTTATATAGAACTGGGTATAAAGTACCAAATTACTTTTGGTCGTTTTGAAAGTATTTATTACTTATGCATTTGTATATTTTTTTTTGCATTGATGGGACGATCTCACAGCCCACCCGGTGTTAAGTGGTTACCGGAGCCCATAGACATCTTTAACGTAAATGCCTCCACCCACCTTGAGATAAGAGTTCTAAGGTCTCAGTATAGTTACAACGGCTGCCCCGCCCTTCAAAACGAAACGCGTTACTGCTTCACAACTGAAATAGGCGGGGTGGTGGTACCTACCCGTGCGTACTCACAAAACGTCTTACCACCAGTAATTAGGCAAATTAGAATTTTGCGGGTTTAAGTTTTTTAACACGATGTTATTCCTTCACCGTGGAAGTCAATCGTGAACATTTGTTAAGTACGTATTTCATTAGAAAAATTGGTACCCGCCTGCGGGATTCGAGCACTGTTGCATCGCCACATACAACTCATATTCGGCTGTGCCTAATTCCTAATTATGATGATTCGGTGAGTTGATTTTAAAACGTCAATTCGTTCACATACATGTGAAATACCTAGTACAGAGCGGTGTGGCTACGATCAATACCCTCAATATCGGACAAACAATTGTTTGGTGCGCATATGTAATTAATGTACTGAATATCATATTGTGTCGTGACTATATTTTACGTATTGTGTACTTTGCTATCTACGTAAAATAAGTTCTTTAGTAGTGCATTTTCAGAGATCCTTTTTTGTCATAGACCATTCGACTTTAGAACATACTTCTTCACGGTATCACCTAAGGTTCCTGATATTTCCTACTTCAAAGGAAACTTAAAAATAAATCTCTACCACTACCTCGACTACTTACAGAAGTATATCTGCCCTCGAATATGTTTTTCCTTTCGAGAGCAGAATACAAATGGAAATTGCATTATAAAGAATGAAACCCAGTAAACAACTGGTGGTTTTACTGGTGGTAGGACCTCTTGTGTGCCCACACGGGTAGGTACCACTACCCTGTCTATTTTAGCCGTGAAGCAGTAATGCGTTTCGGTTTGAAGGGTGGGGCAGCCGTTGTAACTATACTGAGACCTTAAAACTCATATCTCAAGGTGAGTGGCGGCATTTACGTTATAGATGTCTATGGGCTCTGGTAATTCTTTAAAGGTTAAATGAGAAAACTGAGCGTTCATATGAGCAGACAGCATGGTACAGACCCACAAGGTCGGAAGAACAGTAATCGATGCGGACACACAACGTTGAATATGTTATGTGGAGCGCTGGACATTCCCACGGTGAGCTTCCTCGGGCCAAATGTATATTTAACTTTAGAGGACACTGGCTGTACCCGTCCGCTTCGCTGGGCATTTAAAATTAACATTATTATTTCTCACCCCCACAAAGATTCTCATCATTAACGCCCCCGCAACTGGTGTAGGGAGTTCAACACTCATATAAATATTAGCATATCCATTAAGTACATGTATTTTCTACATGTCATACCAAGTTTCAAGTCAATCAGATGCACGGTTCAGTAGTTATAACGGAACATCCGTAAAAACCACTGTAAATTTATAAATTAGTATAGATTAATTGGAAGCCACGTCGAAAATTATCGACAAATGTGCTTCCTTGTTCGTTTTAAATAATGGGGGTTAGAGTTCAAAGTTGCTGATTTAAAATAGTGACAACTTCCAATTGTTTTTGGAAACAACAAAAAAAAAACGATTTTCTTTTTGACTGCACTCGAAGGTCATAGAGCACATAGACAACGAGAACGACCTTGAGTCATGAGGTTGTGGTCTCCACTGTATTGCGTAATGCCTGTTCTTCCCTTTATATAAATATTCATGAGTACTTAGCAGTAGAAATAGGCAGGACTGTTGTGCATACTCGTCAGCGGCATCACAATATGCTCCATCACAAGTACCGTTTGAATATGTTTTTTTTTCTTTTAAATTATAATTTTAAAATAAATTTAATGAAAGTACTGAACATTTTCTTCTGCTTGAAGAATCAAATGAGATTCAATATGAAATACGGACGTGCCAAATAATCTCCGTCCTTTTCATACAAACAAACAATTGTCGTCACAGTTTAATTTAGTTTTTGATTTACACAAAATTATTGTTTTAAAGAATTAACTATTTCGCAAAAATAGAGAAGTAACGCAAACCTAAAACTCTATATATCTATTTTAAAATTAGTAACTATATTAATTAATGCTATGGGTCATCAACCTCGCAGGCTTTGTAGGGTTGTTCTAAGGCTGTAAATACTGCGATCAGATCGATTCGGCCAGAGACCTTTGAATATGTAATGCACAGCAGTAGCCGTTCCCACGCTACTCGGATGTAGTGTTATTAGATTTTCGATAATTAACCTGATACTTTAATTGGTGTTTAAATGAAACAAGTGTATGTAATGGTATGCGCGAAAACAAATATATCATCTATGTACCCTATAAAAATTTATAATTACCATTTCAAATATCCTATACAATCCGCTTTGAATTAACGACATCATCCAAAATTCTAGATTGCTTTATAATCAGATATTTAGATCGATATTGCATTTGTAATAACACACGATATCTCGGAATGAGTCACCTGGAAAAATCTCTTATTGTGAAGATAAAGATGACCCAACCCAAACAAACGGCCAGGAATCAAGAAACTATCAGTTCGTTTTGTGCGAAATTTAAAAGCCAAGGAATATTTCTTTATGGAAGAATGGTCAATAGCTAGCACTAACATCAAATATTTAACACGTAAAACGGCCGTGACCACGGACACCATTGATTATTCGTAACTTTCAAAATAATAATATAATAACAATGAAAAACGAGAGACAAAACCATGAAAATAGTTTTAATTTTGTCTGCGATTCGCGAAAACCGTAGAAACTAACATAAAACAAAGCAATAAACATTGATCCCAACTTAAATAGATCATTGTGAAGATGAGCCGTTCAAAAAATTTCGTTACTTAATATCGAGAAAGGAAGGAATTAAATGTTTGCCCGTCGTATATAAATAAATACAGTGACTATGGGATCAAAAATGGCTTAAGCGCAATAAATACGAAAGATAATTTAAAGGTAGTTTTTTCCAGAAATGTCGAAGCTTATGATTGAGCGTAGCCCTCCTGCTAGATGGAGCGACCACCTGCGCAAGGCAGCTGGCAGTAACTGGATGCGTAGAACCGAAGATCGGGTTCAGCGGCGAGCTTTAGGGGAGGCCTATGTCTAGCAGTGGGCTGCCGTAGGCTGATGATGATGATGATGATGATTGAGCGATGATCAAGCGAAGGGACGTCTTAGTTGACTTCTTATAGTACGGCTTTTTTATTTTATCTCGTTTTAAAGATTCGTTTTTAAAGCCTTGAAGAATCCTTATAATTTTTCAGTGCATTTGCACATCTGTTTTCCCGCAGCCATATTCTGTAAACTTGTAAATAATGGCGTTGCGACATTAAAATATTAAGATTGCCACCGATTACACGAGTGTATTCGAAAGTGCTTTGTAACAGCTCGAGATGATCTTGTCATCTTCTTTTTTGCATCACACCACCTGCCTGCAACGGAAGGTTCGTCCCTACTTTCTGGAATCGACTTTCAGGATACATTTACCCAGAGTTCCTTTCCAGAAATAATTTCCGACTTATAGAATTACTAGATAGATGAGCTTGTGAATTGAATTTCGGGCCTAAAAGGATTACTAACAAATGAACAACGCTACGGTATTTCGTATTAGGTCTACGACTTTAAAAACCTTCCGGAGGTATAATGAGTATTTGTGTGAACGCGTCTAGGCTGGCCAAGATGCATCCAAACGAATAGAAGTCTTCTCTACCTGTACGTTATCGATTGACCCGATGACCCGTTTCACGAGAATCTACCGGGCTATTTAATTTGTTAATTGCTTTCGACAACCCATTTTAATGGAAAAGTAGAGAAATTCATTTACCTTCTTCTTGTTTGTTGAGTTGAGTGGTCTGTCGTGAAAAAAAAAACGATTTTTGATGTTGTTATTTTTTTGGGTATTGTAAAGATAGTATATTGCTCAAGGTGGTGAGCTCGCAGACTATTTGATGTTTAATGACACAAAATATAACTTTGAGACGTGATATTGAATAATTTAAGAAAGTGACCTTAAGTGAAGGCTAAAGTTTGACGCCTATATTTTTAATTTAATTTACTTTTTACTAATAGTAAAATATGTTTAATTTGGGAGCTTGATTGGTATCATTATTTATGTACAGTATTTTAGTAGTTAACCACTGAAGACTAAAATGTTATACCTAAATAAGACATAGGTACTCTGCAAAAAAATGTATTATATAATTCATTTTTGTAGACATATCTGTGGACGTGTTGAAGGTATACATACGTACTTACTGTTAAATTATAGCTGAGTCCGTAGACACCGCAATATCACGATCCACTTTGGATATGAAATCAGAATATTTAATATACCCAAAAAAAAGCTGTGTTGATTGTGGTTTAATCACACAAATACTACAAGAAACTCTGAAAATACGTATTTCCATAAAAATAATACTTAATTTTCTTTGTTGGCAACAGTTGGCGGACGATATCACGTGATCTTAGGCAGTTATCGAAAATCATCGATATCTTAAGTTCACTGTCATAATAATTTATTCATACAAATTGTAAATAAGCAATAATAATGCTAAATTTACTTATAACATGTCGTTACCAAGCTATATTTGCATCTCGACTTTCTCTTTTAAGTTCTTGACGCATTTGGACGTGCGTATTCATTAGAAATCTTCTAAGTAGGAAGTTAATACATCCACACAATGAAAACAAAGGTAGCGTACGATCCTGTACTTCATATCAACGCCCAAATTTAGTGCACACAGATTCAATACGATATCGATTCGATTTCTGCCTTAGCTGCCTAACTGTA